TCGCGGAAGATGGCCGCCCACCCTGAGCCATGGTTCTGCTCGAGGTTTCTGCCTCTTAAAAGGAAGTTTTTCCTTGCCTCTGTCGCCTAGTGCTTGCTCTTGGTGGGAACTGTTGGGCTTCTGTAAATAGCATCATAGAGTACGGTCTAGACCTGCTCTTTTATAAAAAGCGCTGTGAGAACTGTTGTTGTGATTTGGCGCTATATAAATAAATTGAATTGAATTGAATAGTATCCCCTTCAGACACAGAACTGTTTGGGACTGTATGGACGAGACAAGGATGTGATTGGCGTAAACCTCACCACAAATACACACACCTTAATTTCAGCATCTCAGATAAAGTGCGGCTAACAGTCCCAAACAGAGCAAGGTTGCGTCAGTTTTAAAATTTTCTATTGTAAACTCTAGTTACCAGTTATGTTACCACTCCGTCACAAACTGGCTGCAGTGCAAGAGCGGATCCATTGATTACTATGACGGCATACGCCTGTGTCGCATCAGCTTGTTTTTCACTGCGTGAGAAAATCGATGTGTGGCGTAAGAGCGCATGAAAAGCGCAATTGCGTCTCACGTTTAATGCACGAGAGTTGGCAGCTCTGGCTAACAGCACATGCATCAGTCAGTCACAATCGAAGTAAACAATATCAACTTATGCAATCACCCTATGATTCTGACTCACAGGTGCAGGTCATATAATTAGAATATCATCAAAAAGTTGATTTATTTCAGTAATTCCATTCAAAAAGTGAAACTTGGATATCATATCATTCATTCCACACAGACTGATATATTTCAAGTGTTCATTCCTTTTAATTTTGATGATTATAACTGACAACTAATGAAAACCCCAAAATCAGTATCTCAGAAAATTTGAATATTGTGAAAAGACACCTGGTGCCACACTCTAATCAGCTAATTAACTCAAAACACATGGAAAGGCCTTTAAATGGTCTCTCAGTCTAGTTCTGTAGGCTACACAATCATGGGGAAGACTGTTGACTTGACAGCTGTCCAAAAGACGACCATTGACACCTTACACAAGGGGGCAAGACACAAAAGGGCATTGCTAAAGAGGCTGGCTGTTCACAGAGCTCTGTGTCCAAGTGAAGGGAAGGAAAAGATGTGGTAGAAAGAGTGGGGATAACCGCACCCTGGAGAGGATTGTGAAACAAAGCCCATTCAAAAATGTGGGGGAGATTCACAAAGAGTGGACTGCAGCTGGAGTCAGTGCTTCAGAACCACCACGCACAGACGTATGCAAGACATTTGTTTCAGCTGGCATTCCTTGTGTCAAGCCACTCTCGAACAAGAACAGCGTCAGAAGCGTCTCGCCTGGGCTAAAGACAAAAAGGACTGGACTGCTGCTGAGTGGTCCAAAGTTATGTTCTCTGATGAAAGTGAATTTTGCATTTCCTTTGGAAATCAAGGTCCCAGAGTCTGGAGGAAGAGAGGAGAGGTACAGAATCTATGTTGCTTGAAGTCCAGTGTAAAGTTTCCACAGTCAGTGATGGTTTGGGGTGCCATGTCATCCGCTGGTGTTGGTCCACTGTGTTTTCTGAGGTCCAAGGTCAACGCAGCCGTCTACCAGGAAGTTTTAGAGCACTTCATGCTTCCTGCTGCTGACCAACTTTATGGAGATGCAGATTTCATTTTCCAACAGGACTTGGCACCTGCACAGTGCCAAAGCTACCAGTACCTGGTTTAAGGACCATGGTATCCCTATAGAAAATCTATGGGGTATTGTGAAGAGGAAGATGCGATACGCCAGACCCAACAATGCAGAAGAGCTGAAGGCCACTATCAGAGCAACCTGGGCTCTCATAACACCTGAGCAGTGCCACAGACTTTCATTAGTTGTCAGTTTTAATCATCACAATTAAATGAAATAAACATTTGAAATATATCAGTCTGTATGTAATGAATGAATATAATATCCAATTTATTACTTTTTGAATGGAATTACTGAAATAAATCAACTTTTTGATGATATTCTGATTATATGATCAGCACCTGTATTTTAGTACATTAATGCCTACTCAATTTAAAATCCTAACATAGTATTTGAATCAGCTTTAAGTAAATTCCTACCAGCAGCCATCATGTGGTCAGACCCCAGAGGAGAGGAGGACTGTAGATTGTAATGCATGCATGTGCACATTCAAAGATCTCGATCAAAATGGCTTTATAGGCAATTTCAACACTGTTATTCTTTTCTTTTCTCAATCTCAATCTCAGTCATCTCAAAGTCAGTTGTGAGTCATATTATAATTTTCAGGCAGTTTTGTCTGTGGGTATACATGACCATTATCAGCAGCTGTTGGATCCGTTTATCTTGCAGAGTCAGTTTGTGTTTGCAATCAGGACCAAGCATTTGTACAAGCTGTCAAGCTAAAGTAGACCAGAGTGCTTCAGGCTACAAAAATAACCCCCATATCACTAAATTGCAGGATATTTTATTGTACTTAGTTGTATGGTTAGCACTTCAAGCGAGTACAGGTCATTTAGAACCATTTATTTCAAATCATTACATGATTTTTGAAAAAAACAAACACTTTATGCCATTTAAAAGTCTACAGGTTTAGATAGAAATAACATTTACATCAACTGTGCTCAGCTTTATAGCCTAATGTTTTAAAATAATGAAAAGTGGTTATTTTCATTCAAAGAGGTAATTTCCATCAGCGCATGTGGAGAGTTTGATAGATGCTGTATGATTAAATGTTTTAAAATCAAAATTTCCATTCATCCATCTCATTCACAACGCCTCACATTGCCATATTTGCAGAAGCAGGGACATCCTAATTTTTGAGACAGCTGTCGGCCTGCTTCTCACTGTAAGAAGAGACTCCAGTCTATAGTGTTGTTTCATACACTTCACTGATAAACCAGAGAATTACACAGACCTTTATCAAATAATCACCAGATGAAAGCTTAATGGCGGTTTTACCTGTCTGCATTAAACTGAAGCAGTGTGCACAGGTAGAACCACCCACCCACAATAATGTGTTAACAAATGATGACATCTTATTCCTGTCCTCAAACACAGCTGAATCTGACTGCCAGTCTGTAATGTAGGGTCTAGGAGCGGTTTACGATTAGTGCACACTGAGTTACCATGCTTTCCTTTAGCTTGTGACTTCTCTTTCCGTCTCTACCATTTACCTTATGTTGTAGACGTTGGAACACAGTGACGGGGCACACACACACACACATAACACAAACATTGTTAATTGTCATGTTTTGTTTTCCTCATGCCTTTTGTCATGAAATAATAATAGAAAAATAATCATCATCACCACAAAATCCATTTAGGATTAAGTTAAGGCCAAGAAAAGTACAAGAAACTGCCTTCTGGCCAACCACACAAACACCACAGCAGAATCCTCCAGTGCATCATCATATCCACAAAGCTACTGGATTCTTTTTGACTCCTGGAATCCAAGGATTTTTTGCTTGGTATTCACTTCCTTTATTTACAGGCAGAAGGCATAGTTGGCAAGAGCTATAAAGAGCTTTGATTAGTCGGTAGACCAGCAGTGGGCAGCTCCAAAAAGTGTACCTTGAGTTCAGATAATTTTGTCAAAATACTATTTCATAGGTCAGTAACCACTGTAAAAATGGATGTACAGATGTCCCCAACTAAAGATTTACATAGTCCAATCAGAATTGTCAAGTCTTGCCTATAGGCGAATCATGTACTGTGTTTGTGTGCGGTGATTGCGAGAGGGGGGGGTAACAAACGGTAGGTCCGCTTTAATCTTGAGAAGCTGCAGAGCTGTAGTCTCTATTCATTAGTCACTGTAACTTACACTGTACATTTCCAGCTAAACTGAGGCTTATTGTTGACCCTTTTCTCTCTGCTCGCCTGCCATTCAACGGTCTTG